GCAGGAATGGCGTGCGAGGCGCCTTCCCTAATTGCACGAGCCGTTTATACCACTAGCGGCCTCTCTCCCTCTCTGACTCCACCTCCCTGCCAAATCTCCGAGATCGGTACTAATAATCGTATTTTACATTCATCAAATGCGGCCGTTGCGGATGTGTACATACGCCCCGGACCGCAAAGGATCTACGAATTTCGGACGAGCCGACTGCATATACATTTACGTGAGTATGCGCACCTCCTACTCTCTCTCTCTCTCTCTCTCTCTCTCTCTCTCTCTCTCTCTAACTCTCTTTCTACCTTCCTCTCTCACACTCTTCCACTCTTTCTCTCTCTTCTGTTATGCGTCTATTCTTGTGTGCGTGTGTGCGTGTGTGCGTGTGTGCGTGTTTGCGTGTGTTCATGCGTGCATGCGTATGAGATTCGACCGCTATTCACTGTAATAAGCAAATCGAAACGAACGCGACTCTGCCTGGATGATTTTCGCAGTTAAGTAAAATATCGAATCTGATAGTCACCCAACAGATTATATCGAGATTACATGTTGACACGTAAAAATATGTTAAGCTTGTTCGTATGCTTAAATAAAGATTTGCTGTATTTTTTTCCAATGTGCGTATAAAATTAATGCCAAACCATTAATGTAGGAGGATATAGCAGTTAAAAATAAGAATAATGTATTCTCAGCATGCGTTAAATATGAAATTGTATAATAAATTTCTACCAACATAAAAATAAATAATAAATTTTAAATATAATATTTAAGTAATTGATTTTTGTAAAATTTTCAATACGGAACGTAATAATGTGTAAAAGTCATATAAGCAAACATATAATAGTATATTAATCGATAAGAATTCTAGTTACTTTAAAATTCTTCCATAAAAATTACCGTATACACAGTATCATAAATGAATGCGTCCAATAATCCAATATATATGTATATATATATATAAAATTCTTGAAATAAATAACCGGTTTTGGAAGCGAAACCATAACGTTATAAAAATCACGTATAAAACAAGTCTTTACCAAAAAAAAAAAAAAAAAAAAATAAATATATAAATATTTATTTAATATAAATCAATAATAATAAAATAATAAATAACTCAAGCGATCGATATATTTTTAAAAATCGATATAAAAATGAAGCTATACAAATATAACGCAGATAATGTTCATTTATCCATATATTCACAGGGAATTTCTCATATGGATAATATTTAATATATGGGATAAGAAAGACTTGATTATTTGATCGCAACCACTGAACTTTTTTATTATCTCTACAAGAGATAAAATGTAAAATAAAAGCTACTATTCTAAATTCTTAATACAAAAACTAACTCGGGGATTGACTAAAAAAGAATGTCTGATAACGTAAATTAAAACTTTTAAAAGTGTTGTTGTAATTGCTTAGAGTGATTGAGTAGTATAATACTTTTATGTGACACAGAGGATAGAGATAGAGAGAGAGAGAGAGAGAGAGAGAGAGAGAGA